TAAGACGGCGGCAATTGCGACCTGTCTGAGGCCCAAGACCAAAAAGGAGGTGAGGCAGTTCCTGGGGCTCGCAGGATATTATAGGAGGTTTATCCCTAATTATTCGGACCCTCCTGACTTTTCTCTCCCTTTCTTGTTGCAGACGGACGTGTCGGACAGGGGGCTGGGGGCCGTCCTGGCCTAGGAGATAGAGGGTGAGGAACGGCCGGTGCTGTACATCAGTCGAAAGCTCTCTAAGAGAGAGACGATGTACAGCACCATTGAGAAGGAATGCTTGGCAATCCGATGGGCTGTCCTCACCCTCCGCTATTATCTCCTTGGTCGGGAGTTCACCCTCTGTTCGGACCACGCGCCCCTGCAGTGGCTCCACCGCATGAAGGATACCAACGCGCGGATCACCCGTTGGTATCTGGCATTACAACCCTTTAAGTTCAAGGTGGTCCACAGGCCAGGTGCACAGATGGCGGTAGCCGACTTCCTCTCCAGAAATGACCGCCATGACCGGCCTGAGTCGGGCGGTGGGGGTATGTGGCGAGGGGGGCGTGGTTCAGCGAAGTCTGCAGCGGGAGAGAGGGACGGGAGACGAGCGGTGAGTAAGTAGGTCAAGTGCAAAATGATGAACACCTGTGTCTGATTGCAGTAATTAGCCTGGAGAGACCGGATAAAAGGGCAGACTGGAGAACGTGGTAGGAGAGAGAGACTGGGACTTGTGGCGATCCCTTAGCCGGAGGAGGAGAGCCGACTGAACTAAGTTTATGCCCTGTGCAGATTGAGAACGTGCTGGAAGCGCCCCGTTTTTGTTTTGTTGAACTTTAAGGAAAGAAATAAAAGAGCCACGAGTCTCCAAACCGCCTACCTGAGTCACTTCCTTCTTCCCACTACGAACTTTGTTACAGCGTAGTAGTGAGCGAATTGGAGCTGCGTCTGCGCAGTAGTGAGCTCAGGACCCGAGTCTGCGCAGTAGTGAACTCAGGACCCGACTCTGCGCAGTAGTGAGTGAAGTGGAGCTGCGTCTGCGCAGTAGTGAGCTCAGGACCCGAGTCTGCGCAGTAGTGAACTCAGGACCCGACTCTGCGCAGTAGTGAGTGAAGTGGAGCTGCGTCTGCGCAGTAGTGAACTCAGGACCCGAGTCTGCGAAGTGGAGCCGCTTCGTGCCATAGGCCCCTCCCACACTCCCGCAGATTCAACACGCCTCTGACTCTTTTTTAATTAGCCTGATTGCTCCAATTGTTGTCTACTGATTGCCATACAAGAGGCTTGTGTTAACATAAGATACATACAACTCCGATCTCCTCCTGAAGATCCCAATAAAGTCCTTTAGCGCCTCAGTTCACTCAGAGAAGCTGTCAATCATGGCGTCACACTCCCGTTTTTATAGCATCACATAACTAACTAAAACCTATTCCTAATAATTCCTTAATTATTATAAGATCCCTATAACTGCTAAAGAGTTTGCAGAAGTATTAGATGCCATTCCTAGAGGCCTTATTCAACTTTTGTCTGGCAATGTATCTTCTGAGTCTATCCCCTTATAAACTAATTAGTTAAGTATTAATGGTGTGTAAATTATTGATAATGAATTTAATAACTTTTATGTAAAAAAAAAATGTGGAACCACATTATTGCCTAAATGCAAACCTTTTTGGAATGTGTTATGTGCTCAGATTGAATGGAAAGAGGTCTGGAATTTACCCAGTTAATACCGTCTCACCAATAAAGTTAAAGAAGTTACAAGTTATTCATTTGATTTACCCAGTGACACAAGCAGTTGCTCAATGTTTTAGAGACACGGAGACTACATTCATCTTTTGTAACTTAGGGGAAGAATCCATAAAACACGTATTTTATGATTGTGTATTTACCCAAATGTTTTGGATTGATATTGAATATGCCCCCCCATATTGTCAGTCATGGAATCTCTTTTGTCAGACCAGGCCCGGTTGCACGGGGGTACTAGACGGTGCTAAATACGAACAAACTCAGAGTTGCAGAGTAAGTTTTGAGTTGACAAAACGCTATAAAGCCAACCTGCTTAAGATCAGGTTCACTGGGCTCACAAATCTCGATATAAACCTTCTCTCCCAACTCAGGGTTGCACCAGAGTTTGTGATTGACTCTGGAGAGACACATGTCTATGCATTTTAAAAGTTGGATATTTTTATCTGTGCTTATCTATCTATCTATCTATATTGGCTCTATGACTCTCTCTTCTCTCCACCTGTAGCTGGTGTGTGGTGAGAGCACTGGCGCTGTTGTCCTGTGGCTGCCGTCGCATTATCCAAGTGGATGCTGCACACTGGTGGTGGTTGAGGAGAGACCCCCCCCACATGATTGTAAAGCGCTTTGGGTGTACAGCAATACACAATAAAGCGCTATATATATGCATCATTCATTCATTTATATATACCTAGCCTATATATATAGCCTATATATATATTTAATTTAAATACGAAGCTTAAAATGAATTGCCACTTCATATAATAATTATATGAATATATTATATGAATTATAAACAATTACAATTAATATTAATTAATTATATTAATTAATATAATATAATATAATATAAATATAATAAATAAGCAGCTGCCAAAGTCGAGCAATTTTGTCTCTGAAATTCTTTGACTGTAAACTGCTTTGGATCTGGAGCGAGAGATACGGGGGAGTGGCTTCATTGCATCAGATATATGTCACTTTGCTCACAGCTGATTGGTCCAGTTTGGCTTTGTGATCTCTAACCCAGAATAAAACAGCAACCGGCTTCGTGCTACAGGCCACTGGCAAACTATCTAACGTGTTTTTGCAGCGTTGAGCAATGTCACCAATCAAAGACATATCTGTTGATTTCTTCAGCACAATGGCCACAAACGTGAATCTCGTGAATCTTCTCATGACTAACTAAGTGCAGACACGATGTAAATAAGATATTTATTGTGTAGTTTAGAGAGCTTGATTATAACGGAACTTTGTGAGATCACGATAAACATTGATGAGTGATTCTTTTAGTGTTAATCAGAGTATGTGAGCAGCAACAATTTTCCCTCCGTGCTCCAAGCATTTAATAATCACTCCACTCCGGGTTCACCATTTCCCGCTCCACTCCTCGCTCACTGATATCAGAAACACCGCTTCGCGGCTAAAGTATTTCAGTATGTTTGAAATATCAGTTCTGTTCATAACGTATATTAAAAAAATAAAATAAAATAACAGGAGCAATTCAAAGCGGCTTATTGGAACATAGTGTGCAAACATGAGCTAATAACATGGTTGTCAGCATTAAACTGTAATTTATTTCTGTGATGCGCAGCTGAATTTTCTATTGTTGTGTTACTGCTTGTTATGCAATAAAACAAATAACTAACTAAAGCCAAACGTATTTAACAAACGAACAACTTACATCAGCGTGACAAAAACTACATACAAAGTCAAAACCCATCTTTGGAAACAAATATTGGGAGTGTAATGTAATTATTTGGTGAGTCTCGCGTGCCGTTAGATTAGATGGATTTGCAGCAGGAATGTGAGGTAAATGTACACGTGTGTTCAGTGCAGAAAGAGACTTTTACTCCAGAAATGCCGTTCAAAAACGATCATATTGTGTCTAATGTTCCCCCGTTCATAAAAGATGAGTTGAATACGGAGTTGTTCAGGACAAATAGTCTCACAAATGAGGAACGTAAATCCGCTTTACTTAGACATGTAGCTCTCAGTTAGACTCTTACTGAATGTGAGCTACAACATTTTGCAATGTGAAAAAAAAAACATTGTTTAATTACAGCATTTTTTAAAATCTGAGTACTGTAATTGTATAAAGAGAGGTAATTAATTGAAGTAAAGTATTCAGGTATTGTGCTTGCGAACTTATTACACATGCAGACTTGTGTATTATTTTGGCATAATAAAAGTTATGAATAGGGATGCACCGAATGTTCGGCAACCGAAATTATTCTGCCGAAAATAGCAAAAAAAGCTTTTTCGGTGTTCGGCCGAATAAGCGAAAAGACCGAATAAATTGTACCGAACAAAGACGTGACTCGATCAAATAGAGAGCGCGCACTAATGCTGCAAACATGACGGCAGTGTGGAAACATTGAAACTTCCCGCTCCACTCCTCGCTCACTGATATCAGAAACACCGCTTCGCGGCTAAAGTATTTCAGTATGTTTGAAATATCAGTTCTGTTCATAACGTATATTAAAAAAATAAAATAAAATAACAGGAGCAATTCAAAGCGGCTTATTGGAACATAGTGTGCAAACATGAGCTAATAACATGGTTGTCAGCATTAAAAGGTAGAGTTGCTGCTTTTTGCAGCGCAAATTTTGTTTGTGATTAAAATAACAGTACGTTTTCGTCAGTTATTTTACCTTCGGATCGCTGCATTTCTTACAGATTTCTGCTCATTCGAAATCGGATACAGATGAAATAGCACTGTAATATTACATTTGTTTGAATGCATTATTGAGGAGCGATTGCGTGTGAGTAAGTGTTGTACCTGTTTAAATCATGCTTTCACCTGAAAATATTCAGTATCTAGAAGGAACAAAAAAATTCCTTGAGAACTTCCCGCTCATGTCCATTGCCGTCATCCTAGTCTTCACATGCTTTCTGATTTAAGTGATCTCTATCAAGCTAGCTAAATAGGCTATGTTTAATATGTGAATTCTTGCTAAATATGCAGTTATTTTATGGGCCGTTGGCATGAATTGTACTTGTGATGGAGTGGTGGTGGAGCACTCTTGGAGCAAGTGAAAACCACGACGTTCAATCCTCCCTCCATTCAAAATTACACCGCTCCACTCCACGCTCCGCTCACATACTCTGGTATCAAAGATGACAACTTCCATAAACCAGAAAGTCTTACAAATGCATTTTGCAATGTGAAAAAAAAAACTGTTTAATTACAGCATTTTTTAAAATCTGAGTACTGTAATTGTATAAAGAGAGGTAATTAATTGAAGTAAAGTATTCAGGTATTGTGCTTGCGAACTTATTACACATGCAGACTTGTGTATTATTTTGGCATAATAAAAGTTATGAATAGGGATGCACCGAATGTTCGGCAACCGAAATTATTCTGCCGAAAATAGCAAAAAAAGCTTTTTCGGTGTTCGGCCGAATAAGCGAAAAGACCGTATAAATTGTACCGAACAAAGACGTGACTCGATCAAATAGAGAGCGCGCACTAATGCTGCAAACATGACGGCAGTGTGGAAACATTGAAACTACATGCAATGCCCTTAAACGACTAAATATAATGCAGAACGTAATGCTTTCTAATACACGCCGGAATTGCACGTGTTCAAACAGCGCTGCACAAGCTTGCAACGGAAGGGTTCAAAGCCCAAAGCGCGAGGAAAATCTGTGCTGAACTTGTTACTCGTCAGATGCTCAGTAACATTGTTATGAATTTTTACAAGGCATGTGACAATGCGATACGCACAACAAACGTCTTCCCAAATTCGACAAAAAGAAGCAAAAAGAAGGTCCTCCTGCGGGGTTCTGCCAAAATAACAGTTGAGAAAAAGACTAGTCTATGTCAGTGCCCCTTTTCCTTACCTTCATTTTGTTGGAGAACTGATCCAAAATGAATTGTTCAACATGAAATATGACACGTTGCGCTCTACTTTTGTGTCCTTAAACTCTCGTTTTTTTTGGGTGGAAAGCTTATAAAAACGTAGTTCTGGGTTTTTTAGCTTGTTTACTGAACACCTTGTCACACAGCAGCTTTTAGACATTGTTATGTTTTTTGTTATAAGTCAGAAATGACAAGGAGGCAGCTTCCCGCAATACAAAGTCAATAGAGAGCGTTGGATTGTTTTCCCTCCGGTGTGGGGGCATGGCCTAAATGCGCTCTGGCTCTATTAGAATGTTTCCACCTAGCGTTTGCGGCTCTGTGATTGGTGGTCCAGCTGAGAAATTACAGAGTGCCCAGCAATAGAGTGGGGGAACTATGACGTCACTTTGTAAGCGGACCGGCTGTTAGCATCGCACTGGTTCCCTCCACAAAAACCCAATAGGATTTTTCCATAGGCTTTTGGATTATTGCAAAAAATAAGCTCTGTGTTCAACCATAGTTCATGATACTTACACGTTTTGTCCACCAAGATAATCTTCACAAAGTAATATAACTTTTATGAATTTTGAAGCCTAAAGACAAGCGCCAGAACTGAAAAGCTAAACAATCATTCTAATATTCTGATTTGCTGCTCAAAAAATGAACCGCATTTAAAAAAAATTACTGACTCCAAGCTTTTGAATGGTATAGTGTATAATGTTACAATAGCATTTCATTTAAGATAAATGCTGATCTTTGGATCTTTCTATTCATCAAAGAATCCTGAA